TGCAGAGCCCCTTATCGAGATGATATACAAGTTATGACGCAACTCCCTCCCTCTCTCCGTCTCTCTCTCCGTCTCACTCTCTCCGTCTCTCTCTCTCCAGCTCTCTCTCTCTCACTGCCCGACAAATTCCATCTCCTATATTAGATAATGCACAGCCCACCATGTAAAGAGCAATACATTGTTCTATTCTTGGTGACAACAGAGGAGAAAGGGGGAGTGAAGGAGGATTATAAAGAGCAGAATGATGAGGAGGCTAATTCAAGCAGTTTGAAAATGCTGGAGTGAGAATAAGAGAGAGAGGGAGAGAGGGAGGGGCAAGGCTTAATGAAAATAAGTGTATGCGCTAAGGTGCCAACTGTCGGGAGTTTTGAAATACGTTTATAGAGGGAAAAAAACACGTTTTAGTACATGTATTTTGGAAAACAAAATGCCCCTTTCCTAATCCACTCTTCTCACCCCGGCTACCTACATAAATCTCACCCCAGCACTAATGAACTATTATGATTACCGAGAATATTTACTGTGTTGACAGAGGTTACACTCCTCAGTCCCAGAGGACCAGAATGAGTTATGTATCGCCTTCCTTTTCACTCTCCTCCCTTGCCTCCGTCTGTCTCCCTTGTTTCCACTTGTAACTCTCTTTCTCTCACTTAGCCATATGGGGAATGACACATGTATCTCTCATCCTTCCCCACAGAGCAACGGGGCAGTGCGACTGTTATGTTCTGTGCGGTACATAGTTAGCAGAGCCTGTGGTGATGTATTGAGTGTAATGGCCAACAGTGTTTTGTTGAGATTAATTGATCCTAATGGCTAACACAGTTAGTGGTGAGTGATGGCTGCTCCGCTGCAGACACACTGGAGGATTGGACACAAATCAAGTTGCGACTCGGCTTCCACTGCAGCATCACGCTCCGTCTGTTCTGTCATCTACAGAGCCGTCCGAGACAAAAGAGATGTGTGAGGGACCATAAAGCAGCACTTCGGTCAACAGTTAGCCGCTTTGCTGGAGGCTTCTGTTCTAAATTGGGACATCCACAGTTTGACAACTTAATTGCTAAAAATGACTGTTCAAGTTAAATTAAACCTTGAGTATTAGCTCTGTTATAAAGTGGTAAACTGAGATGCACCCAGTAAAAGAACAGAACAAAAAAAATGCAGGGCATCATCGAAAAAGTTTCCTCTTAAAAAAAGTGAAGATGTCATGCAAGATTTCACATACAAATGCTCACTTTTACTTTAGTGTGTGACAATGCCTGAACATTCAAATATAGAAATGTCAGCAAAAACCATGCCAAAATTCCTCTAATACGCAGCCTTGGGTGTTAGTTGAGAGAAATGATTGACAACTGGGTCTTTCTATGTGAACTACATGCTGTCGAATGCCCACCAGGCCCACAAAAGCCCAACAGAGACCTGCAGGTTGAAATGATTTAGTTTGACATTATGAAGAAAAACTAATAGCAATTGCGGGTACATGTTGTGTTGTGTCCCTAAATGAGACACCAAGCACTATAGAAAAAAAGTACCTGCTTGATAACACTTTTCCAAACTAGAGGATCTTGTGTATTCTTCCGCATGTTGAATATATTGCTTTTTTTCTCAACGGATCAGCCGTGCAGCGCTTCGACAGAAACCTCATTAGTTCAAGTCACGTCCCCGTTGCACTGTATCATAAACTGATCCTCCTCTCCTCGCTGTCTGCCTCTTGTTAATCACCGAATGTGACTTGACAACTATTTGAAAAAGTACCCATCATTCCCCCCCGAGGCTGGGATGACTCATCGAGTATGGCCGCCGCTCGATCACATGGGCTGGCCTAAAAAAGGTTCCCTTCTTCTCTCTCTCCAATCACTTCATCATTGCTCCTCTTCACCTCCCCGCTCATAACTCATTCTCTTCGGACTGCGCCCCCACCACTGAACTGGACCGCTAAGTCCCGCTTTGCAGAGACAAAGAGTGTGTCATTGCACCTCATCTCTTTCAATTGCCTGACTGACAGCTCTGACAGCATGGAGGGTCGGAGAGGAGTCAGTCGGCCATGCTTCCTCCCTCTCCCACACCACAAGGTTTTAAACTTTCCACCGCGTACAGTGCCTCATCCACCCGCACACACACACACACTTACATTCCCCCGCCGCCTCCTCTTTCTAACCCCAGGAGGTCTAAAATCCCATCATCCCTCTATGTCAGCGTCGCTGTAGCAATCCCCCCCTTAATTTGCATAATATTCCTATTCCCTTGCCGCCTCACTCCTCCTGTATCAGACAAACTGCTCTGGGAATCATAACGGGATATGCCCTGCTCATGCTCAGACTACGTCTCATGACTTTCTCGCTATTAGTTTTGCTTTTCCACCCTCATGCACACACATTCATTCATTCATTCACTCTCTCTCTCTCTCTCTCTCTCTCTCAACCTTAACGTCTTTGATTTTTGTTCCTCTAATCTGTCCATCTGTCTGAGTGTACAACTCTATTAGAGGTGTGAGTGAGAAAGGTTGCATGGAGAGATATATGAATGAGGTACAGTGTAATCTGATTACATGGCTGACAGGCAAAAAAGTTGACCGGTTCGTATTACAACAAAGTGGTTTGAGACGGTTTCTGTGTGTTTAGTTTATCTGTTATTTCGTTGACACTTGACACACCCCGCACGCCTACATGAACAAACAGGAGACACAACCCTCAGTTGGCAGCGACCAACAAAAACACAAATAATGATCATCCACGCTGGAGTGTCAGCTGGGGCTGGTAGAAGGGCCAGAGGGCTGACCAGAGCCGTGTGAGGAGCTTGTAGATCGTGTGTTAGAGCTTTCTAATTGCCTAAACTCCAATAAGTGCCCGCAGCTCTCTCCGTCTAAGCAGCTGACTTGAATAAAACTCATCTTCTGTCAAAAAACATAATGAGGCTGCACTGAACTCAGCACCACCCGCAACGGATCCACAGAAAAAGTCATAATTGATCATCTTCAACGGAAGGCTTTCACTGTGAAGCTGCTGCAGGAAATATTGAGCACGTATTAACAAGACACATGTGCCATTACCAAAACAATCTGCTGCCTGCAACTTTTGTTTTTCAGCAGCTTTCTGTCCCGCTGATACATTGAAGTCTTTTGCGTTACTTCTTTTTCATGCAGCTGGTTGAATAATATATATATTAGTCAGCCTGTTAAATGTTGGTAGGTACGGTAAGGTAAGGTTCCAGTGTTGGGATACACTACTGAAGTAATGCACGCCCTCCAAGCAAATTGCAATGACCTAAAATTCCTGCTAAATGCATTCAGAACAATATTGCCTTTTTGGATAGCCGATTCTCATCTAGATTTGTTTCTGTCAACGTGACAAAACAAATGAGACCTGAAAATACCAGATCACATGCTTTCACCCGTTTAAACATTCATAACGCACACCTGATCTGAATCACATTTAATCACATTGTCACTTTTACCGGGCAGTGTAAACTGCCTTGTGACCAGACAAACAGCAGGACAGCAGAGCAATGGGCAGAATGTGAGAGGAAGAATTGGGCCAAGCATGCGGTCACTGTTGGTGACCTTGTGGAACCATCTGAAATGATGTCTCTGTCGTCCTCTTAGACTGATTGCTACGCTGCTGCCACATCACTGGACTGATGGGAGTGATGGAGGACTTGCTTAACTCCATCCAGCAAGGACAGTTAAAGAAGAAAACACTATGTCCTACAACACCTGAATGTCAACTGTACACCATTGCTGTGAAATGTCGCCCTCTGTTGATAATTAGGAATATATATATATAGAGCAGTGATTCCCAAATTTTGATTTAAGGGACCAGAAAAGCAACAGCAGTACAAGCAGCTACAAATATGACGGACATTTGCAAGCTGTGCATACAACAGTTTAAGCAGTTAGGAATAAACAACCACCTTCCTCACTGTAGCCTTGCAAGAATTAACCAGAAAGAGTATAAACAAAAAGAGTTTGGGACACCAAACACCATGAAGCAACATCAATTGATTAAGACACATTACCGTCAGAATAAAACATCATCAAAAGCAGCCAAACACAGAGCTGTAAAGACAATATAAGGCCACAGCAGCAGCTACAGCCCACCAACACACACTTTAAAGCAAAAAGCAAACAAAGAAAGAGAGCTGCACAGTCTTTTTGAGTCGTGTGTTGTTGTACTCACCTGCTGCACGGAGTTGTTTGGACCGTACACACACCACACCGCATTTTAGCATTTCGACAAAGCATTTCGAGCAAAGCCTGCAACTTGTTGTTGAGTAACTTCGGGGATGTGATTCACTGAGTGTGCCAGCCGAGCAGCCCCCCCCCCACACAAACACACACGCACACACACACACACACACAACACCCCCTGACACTCTGCCAGTGCAGGTAAATATTCCGAACACATCTTTCGGAATGTCACCTTGTCTTTCTTTCTTGAAATGTGGCCAAGTGGGCTACAATGCATATACAATGAATACACATATATAAAAAAACACTAAAGTACAAGTGTGCCACTCTAAAAGGCTACAAGTAACCTACACAAAATACTATTTTGTTACAGTAACAACAGTACATGTGATTCGTTACTCCATCCCTGCCGAACAATCCCACCACTCCACCCACAAGTTCTTGTTTAGGGGTCCAAAGTAGGTCTTTTGTAGAAAAGCTGCACATGATACAAACTTACTTACAGTGAGAAACACAATCCGGCCAGTAGATGGCAGCAGATTTTTGTTTAAATTTCATCCGCTTCCAACTCAGTCAGTCAACCCAGCACGGGCTGTATTGTATCATTAAGTGCAAGGAAGGGGCAGTGCACACCAGTTTTTGAGTGATACAATAAAAGTGGGGTGTGTTGTTTTCTCTCTTTTTACATTTTTTTTTTGTCGGAATCTAAGTTTCTGATTGGTTCTCCCTTTCAGAGTAGTTTTTTTCTCCCCATACTGAACTTTCCCCTATAAAACCTATGATGATGTGAAAGCTTCATTCTTTTGAATTGTGCAGCACAGCTCAGTAGATGGACTTACCAAATTGCGAGGAAAAAGTCAACTTTAACACTGGATTAACTTGTATGGGGGAATATCAGTTATAAAAGTTGGTCCATTTTGTTAATCACTCTCAACCTGCAGTGTTCAGCTTTGTAGCGGTTTCTGAACCCGGGATAAGTGGTCTTCACGCACAGTTTGCGCCATGGCAAACTCCTGTCTTCAACTGAGCGGCTTCCTCGTCAGCTTCCTCGGCTGGCTGGGCATCGTGATTGCGATATCCACCAATGACTGGGTGATTATGTGCAAATACGGCTTGAACACCTGCAAGAAGATGGATGAGCTGGAAGCCAAGGGACCCTGGGCAGAATGTGTCATCTCCACAGGACTCTACCACTGTTACTCCCGATCGCAGATCCTGGATCTACCAGGTACTGATTCTTGTACATCCCTGCAGCAGCACTGTTGTTGTCTTCTTTTCGACACATTTAAGTTGAACTTCTTATCCCACCTGATATCATGCAATTCATTTACAAGATGTTATTTCCACCACTTCTTCTGAATACAGCTCTGTTTTTATTTAATCCCCCTTTTTTAAGTAAAAATACCCACAAAGCTTAACTCTGTGATGGAATGTTTACTTTCTTTTGGCAGTAATATCATACATGTTTCATATGTGCTTGTGTAGCCTACATCCAGACGACCCGTGCGCTGATGATCACAGGTTCCATCCTCGGTCTCCCAGCAGTGGCGATGGTAATTATGTCTATGCCCTGCATCAACTTGGGCAATGAACCCCAGGCCTCCAAGAACAAACGCACCGTCTTGGGAGGAGTGCTTATACTCATAGTCGGTAAGAGACTCAACTTTACCTAATTCACTCAATGCAACTGTAATGAATGAGTGGAAAATGTCATGGTCAGACAAAATGTGCAGTCCATCAGAGCAGGTCTAATTGTTTTACGCTCACATGCACACACCAACATACCTTCCAACCGTTCCTGACTGTGACCTCTTTTTAATCCCTCTTCAAATGCATACAAGCTGCTGATGGAGGAGGATGTTGAATATGACTGTCTTCCTCCCAAGGGTGCACACACATATGCACACACTCATATATGCGCCTGTTCCATTGACCCCCTTCCCACCAGATCCCATCACATTCCTCTCCTCCACCTACTCTCATCCACACCCTCCCTTTGTCCCGAACTACATGGAAACACACTCCCTGATATGTCCAGTTTATTGTGCTTCTGAATATTTTACATCTTCCAAAGCCCTAAAATGAAATTTTAACACCTGTGTCCATTGTTTGACTTTTCTACTGCCCACGTTGTTCAGAGCAAAACTATTCCCAACATGTTCCACCCCCATTACTTCCATATGAAAACGTTTAAGACTTGAGTTAATCGATTTTATGTTTTGGATTTGCTTGTGTGTTTGCATGCTTGTTGCACAGCAGAATAAAAATCCACTCACCGCGTTGCCTGCATACTGGCAGTAAAATCGCCCCAACAGCAATTAGTTTGAGTCCAACTTTAATTATTTTTGTCAACTGTGTCCTCTGAAGCGTCAGCTGGAAAACTTTCATTCCACACATTATTTGTGGATTTGGTTATTGGCCTGTCTAGTGCAATATATTCAAATTGTACTGGTAGTTAAAGGATTTCATGCAGTTGTTCTGTGTTAACCTTGAGTGTATACTGGCACAAATCCAACATATAACAAATGTGTCCTTGTCAGCTGTATGAGGATTTCAGTATTTGTACAAGTCTTAGATCAGGCCTCCCTTCTACAGTTCAAGGCAAATCTTTTATAACACCATGAAGTCTTGCTGCTAAATAATATTATTGCACACATTCTTTCTTCCAATCTGTCATCCCTTTGTGTCTTGTTGAGGAATAAATCATAAAAAACTGTAATAGTTCCACTGACACTACTCACACCAGCATGCACCCATTCATATATCCTAGCCTTGTTAAAGCTCATTTAGTGTTTTCATCTGTGGTTACATTATACTGTCTGTTATTTGGTCTCTTTGGCACTCCTGAGTATGAATATGAGCAGCATCTACGTGCACCATTTTGCATCCCTATTTGTTGCGTTATTTTCCCTTCGGACATAGCACATCAACTATTCTCTCTGTTTCTTCTCAGCACTGTGCGGTATGGTGTCGACAGTCTGGTTTCCCATCGGCGCTCACCAGGAACACGGCCTCATGTCATTCGGCTTCTCCCTCTACACTGGATGGTTTGGCTCCATCTTCTCCCTGCTGGGCGGGTGCATTCTTACCTGCTGCTCCTTAGAGTCGTCCTCGTCTCGCCCCTACCAGGACAACAATCGTTTCTACTACTCCAAACAGGGAGGTGGAAACCCGCCAGCAGCCCCCTCCACCAATCATGCCAAGAGTGCTCACGTCTAAGCGGGGGGAGAGATTCTGAAGCAGATGTGTAGGGAACTGTAACTTGTATATAGAGACATACACACTAGCACACACATCCAATCACAGTTACATGCAAACCTATACCGGAAGAGAGGGAGACACATAGACACACTCATTCATCTTCAAGAAAAACACACAACTCCTTGATCGAGCACACAAACATACACAAAACAGACCTGCACACATCCAAACACACAAAGACTGTTCTTGTTGGAGCTCTTTTTTTTCGCCGCCGATGGATTGTTTTGTCACAGAGCTCATCTTCCAGCCTCCTCGTGTTGCGCTTGGTGTGGACCTGCTGTTACATAGTTGTACAAGCTTTAATTAACTGCCTGCACACAAACCTGAGGTCCCAATCACTTGAGGCCTTGTGGACTGATCTTCTTTAAAACTTCTATTTTTCTACTTAGATGCACCTACAGATGAAATCTTATGAGTGTCTTCGTTGATGAATCTGTATTTTAAATCGTATAATACACTGATCGGTTGTTTTGATTAGAGCAGGGTATGACAGTATTATGTTTCGAATTATGTTCATTAGCATTGTTTATGTACATTGATTTTTCCTTGACAGTATTGTTCGACTCTCTGATGCATTTGCCTCTTGAGTGATGGACTTGATTAAAAATTGCAGCACTGTTTTTCCCAGCCACTGCAGGATGACTGGAACATAAATTTCACAGGGGCGCTTTAACCAGCAGTGTTACAGTCTGTGTATTCAAGCCTTAGTGTGTGCACTGACTTGGCAAAAATATTATAGAGTACAAAACCATAATCTTTTGTTCATTTCTCACTCATCCAATAGTAACATTTCATAATCTAAACCCATTTTATGATACTAACTTTACGCAGCTTATCCTGTAACTGTGGAATTATACATTTCCATTAAACATCTTAGTCTAAGTTCTACACATAAAACAGGTCTGTAGCTGAAATTATGTTTCTACAAGCGTGCACAAAAAACACAGTATTATTTAGATCAGCTTCTCTTACGGGAATGCAATGACTTGAATGTTCAATATCTCAAAAGTGCTCTGAACACAGATCCCCACAGAAGCAATATTAGCTGGTTATTTATTGTTTCGCTGATGTTTTGTTTGATTTTCTGTAATAAAGACAAAACAATGAAAAGTGCCTTTGCCTTGAGTCGATAAGACGTTCACATCCCATCCCTTTTTTTTTTACTCCATCAGGATGTTAGGCTTACATTTGATATAGAGTGTGTGTGTGTGTGTGTGTAAGTATGTGATGCACATGTGATATACAGTCATCTCCGCCCTGGAACAAGCTGACTGTGATAGTGTTTCTTGTAGATTGATGACATAGATTTTCTATTGTGAATACGGGTGGGGGATATGTGTCCATGTTTGTGTGAATAAAAGCTGAGAACAATGAGAAAACATGAATTGTTTTTTAATGCATCATATCTGTAATCTGACACAGTGACCTTGAGTTAAGTCAGCACACAGCAGCCTGTCTCGAAGACACTCAAAGCCACACTCTGTACCGGCCCTCCCCTGCCAACCACACACACACACACACACAAACACACACACACACACACACACACACACACACGATATGCAACAAAGAAGTATAATTATGTCCAGTGTGTGGCTGATTGTGTGCTCCTCTGTCCATATCAAGGTCACAAAGCCATGTAATAGATATCACATGATACTTTGGAAACAATAAGTGCTATCTCATTGTCCTCAGCTTACCTTCAAACACACACGCAGTCATACACAGCCTTATGTCCTCATTTTAACACATCATTCTGTCATGTGTATTTCCTGCCACGTCTGCGTGCAGGTGTGTGTGTGATCATGTCGGTGTGTATTTGTCTGAAATGTGATTCCAGGCCAAAGCCATCCAGTTCACAGGAGGCCAGCGGGAAAGTAGTGGGCAAACCAAGCTGTCCTGTATTACTGTGAGAGACTGGTAGTGTTACAGTACGATATGCTGTGCTGAAGCGTTGCAATCTTAAGTTATTTATCTAACAATACAACTGAATTGTTGTCTGAGAGGAAGTTTTCTGCTCCAGGACATTATCATACACCAGTACTAATACTCTGTGATATTCTATCCTTTCCAGCAATTATTTTCAATAAGTATTTATTTTCACTTTTCATGTGTGCCCACTGTGCATCAACCTGGCTTGTCTGTTTCTACTTCGGTTGAAATTTCCGATTAATTTCCCAGAATACCATTCAGCAACAACCAGAAACACCGGTGACCCATTTCCTTTCCTGCATGCGCTTCTGCATAGGACAAATCTCAGCAATAATGTTAGAGCAATACGGTGAGTTACAGTCGAGCCCCCTGATCAAAACACAACGCGCTTGCGGCTGAGTTGTGACCTGGTTTATTGAAGCTACACTGCTGCTGGACGAACTCACTTAGTTTGACTGTAGCTCATCGCTGCATTGTGAAGACGCAATAGAAACCAGTTCTCTGGTTCTGCGCGAGAGACACCATAACTTGAACTTTCAGTTGACAGCATTGAAACTGTGCTAAACATATGTCAAAGTGATGTTTAACAATCTACCGTACTTTTGCTCTGGTTTATGCTCTTAGATGCTTGTGTAAACAAGGAGATGCACGTATGACTTCTGGTGACTGTAGTTCTCTTGAATACCTATGTTGAATACACTTAGTGTAAGTCGCTTTGGATAAAAGCGTCTGCTAAATGACTGTAATGTAATGTAATGTAATCTACTGTAGAATTCATCACATGCACGAGAACCAACAAATCAGGGTCCCACACATAAAAACATTGTTCTATAGCATTAATAGTGGTCAAAAACTCCACAGGGAACCTTTAATCTGAACATTTTAGCTATTAGAAGCTTAGTGGCATAGTGACCACCAAGGAGGGTGAAAGAAGAGATGTCAAGGCTTCATACCGCATCATATCTTTGGGGTACAACACATGCGCAGTAAAATTCATTAGAAAGAATGCAAGTTTAAGGCACTTCCGTATTGGCTTCACTTTTCAGACCGGGAGGTTGGTGCCTGGATACAACACAACTAATGTGCTACGGTTAGCTTCTGCTGTTTTGGACTGTTTCGGCTCTTTAGTATGTCTGTGGCATTTGCATTAAAAAGTCCATTGAAATTTTGTTTATTTTAATAACTGGTGTGAATGGGTCTCAGTGTTTAAGTCATCAGCTCAAAATGGACATGAAACCATTTCACTTATGTGGTTAAATATGTAATACATCGTACATCAACCCTTACAGCCAGGCATAGTAGCACAGTGTGTATAATTGTATAATTAACCTACTGTAAGGTATTCATTATAGTAGACAGAGAAGGACACTTACAAAAATGAGCAAGCCTCTTTTTAGTATTTGCAATAAATAGCTTTCATTGTTGCATGGAAGCAATATCAACAACTCAGCAAAAAACAGTGCACTCAGGAGCAAAATAACCACACATATGGAAGAAACCATTACAAAATCAACATAAAAAACAACTACATTATACAGCTTTGTGCCAAAATATACAGAAGAGAAAAGGAATATCTAGCTGTTTGCGAGAAAAGCCAATTTCAACAAGTCAGACACACACTGACTGGACACTTGGCCACAGCGAACACAGAGCACAGGAACAACACGCTTTGTCCGAGACAAAATAAACAGATAGTAACTGACTTTAAAAGCGATAGTGGCAATATTTGATTATGCTTGTAGTTCACCTTTTATAGTAGTTCACCCTTTATAGAATTGTATTAAAATAGTTTCTGCATGTTTTCTGTCGTACTCCTACTCCTAAACCTTCTACGGTCCTATTGACGTCTAGCGCAACCATTTTGAAATCCTTCAAAAGGAAAGGATTAAGGTTTATAAATGAGCGTTATCATTCTAGAGACTACAGTTGTTAAAAATATATTTTTAGCAGTTTCTCCCAGGCCTCCTTGTGACTAAACAAAAACACAGAAAGAGAAGGCTGATAACTTTACCCAGCTCTTTTGTGCACAGGAGGACCCGTGGTTGGGAGACAGCTGTAGAAAAATACTTTTCTTCTTCAATGTTGTACTTTTTCATTGCTGGACAAACTGATCTGCTGTAGTCAATGACGTCTAGACTAATACTTTCAATGAAATACTTAGCAACTAGGATTTTTTAAAAATGATCATTGACTAAAGCCACTGTGAGACTCTCCTTGGGATGAACTGACATTAGTATCTTATTAGCAGACTCCCAAGAAAAATGGTTAGCTCTGTTGTTAAGTGTTCACTGTGTGTGAAAAGTAAACAAACATTGTAGACTTTGGCTTGCAGAGGTCGTGGTTGAGAGAAGGGATATACAGGAAGTAGGCATACTGTAAGTGGAGGACGAGAGAGGAGTCATCCTGGGTGTTTGCTACATGTTCTACTCCTTTCTCAAACGGAGCCCTGGTTCCCACCTGGGTGGGGAGATTACTGTATGAGTTTAGAAATACAGGAGAGGATCCAGCAAATAATCTTCTTTTAGCTCAGAGACCCTAACATAATATAGAGTTCAAACGGTTTGGGTTTGAATCTGAATATAAATGATAGGAGTATGCAGTGAATGCAATAGCTTTCGGTTCAATTCAGTATAAGGATCCTGAACAATGACGTTTTTAAAGCTGATCCGGTTGTAATACACCCGTTAAATCCTCTCAGAGCACAGAGGCCAACGTTTCCAGGTGTAAGAACTAAGCCTGCGTTTGGTTTAGTTTAGTGTTCTATTATGTCTCGTAGCGATCAATCACCACATGCAAGTACAACATTTACAGTCTGGGCCTCGTGCATGAGGGCATGCAACACATTCACCAGACGCTCACATTGAGGCGCAGGCATGGACCACACGCACACACACACACACACACACACACACACACACACATACTGCACATGCATTCACGCACTTGTATGCATACACGCACAGAGCAGATAATATAGTAAGTTGACTGTACAGTCCAGTGTCAGAGTGGCAACGCCTGAATTCGCAATCTTGTTTTGGCTGAGCTTTGAATGCAAAACTGCTGGATTCTTTTGGCTGAGTCGGGAGGTGATCTGGGTGGGGAGGGGTATTTTGGCTGTGTGGTAATGCAATGGAATACATGTTTGGATGTGTGTGAGATTTTAAAGTGCAAATGTTTTAGGATGTGATGTTTTTGTTTTTCCACAACCCTTTCACCAGACAGAACGCTGATATTGGACAATTCTGCGAAACCTCCGATTACATTCGATGGCAACAATTTTTTAAATATCTATTCCTACGGTGGCCATACAAAGCAACTATATGGGGTTAAAATCATCTTAGGTTGTTGGTTATTATCACTTCTTCCCACCCCGCTGTGCTGAACTTGGTGTTTCTTTGTGCCAAACATATTCTACATTCACATAGGAATCCCTTAAAACAAATAGGAAAGAGCATGGTTACAGTTAAAAGAAAGGCAACACAATTGTTGGTTTCAGGGCTGAATACCAATAAGAAAACCTGTACTTTTTTCCCCTGTGATATAGTCCATACATGTTTATTTTGCTACATGGTCTTTGCATGAAATACTGAATTGAATATTTACATACAAAGGGTTTTCCAATTGAAATGTATTGAGTTTAAAAATACTGGAATCAGCTTGTAAAACATACACCATGAACAACACTATTCGTTACTACACTACCCAGGTTTCCAGAAAAGTCACTTGTGGACATGACCTCAAAGTTAGCTACAGCCATGGTTGGTCTCTGACGAGAAGGACGGGCCACACCCGTCCACCTCCACAACGTCAACACCCTTATGTTCCACTACACCACAGAAAGGGCGCACCCGACTTCCTGCATCAGCAAGCTGCAGAATCGTCCAATATGAGCGCAAATTGTCAGAATAGCGGGCTGTGTTTCGGGACGACATCACAATCATTTCACTGGACGACAACAAAGGGTTATCACTACATGAAGGTGTTTGGAAATATGTGGGAGGATTCAGAGGTAGGGTGGGGGTTTAGCGTGGCATCCTTAGATTTAGTGCATTAGACAAATAAGGCTTCCCTGGAAGGGACAGATGCAGCAACAGAGGGGCAAGAGGAAAGGGTAGAGGTAAGGACAATCAGGGCATACAGCAGCAGCTATTGGAGAAGTGCCCCCACCCTAAACATAACATAACAGTGTGCTATTTGGTGTGTGCCAAAATCTCTTACAGTGACATGAGTGCTTACATTCTTAGTATAGAATCAAACCTCAAACCCTGGCAGCATTAGCTCACATGTCCTACACACTGAGCTCTACAGATTGATTGATTTTCACAATATTTCTTCGGGGTGCAGCAACAGTGGAGATAACATGTAAAGAGTGGGGCTTCAACACTAGCTACATAAAGAGGTAGGGGCAACAGGGAGGTTCACTCAGACTAGATTGGGCTCTGGTTGGAGCAGAACCACAGAGAGAGGACTAAATGCTCCGGTGACAAATCAGAAGGGAGATAGCATTACACCCTGAGGTGAAACGGGAGCTAATGTATCGTCAGGCCACGAACAGATTGTCGTTTCAAATCCTGACTGAAAACCAATCCCGGCTCTATCACTTGACTTAAGAGTGGCGACTCCCCTGCTGACAGGGACAGATGAATATCAAGAGGGTGGTGAGGTGGGAAATAGATGAAGGAAGTGTTGGGCTGGAAGAGCAAAGGAGCAGTGGAAGTAGGGGATACAAAACAAAATGTGGAGAAGAAAGAAAGATAGGAGTTAAAAGAAAAAGAGGGGAGAAAAGGAGAGAGACGGACCAGGAGGGATTGTATTTCAGTTCACTCAATGTATGAGTAAAAGTCCAACTTATTTACAATACAGTTGTTCTCAGTTCGGGACTGTACTAAAGTTATTGGTGTGAAGAGGGAGGTTGAAATTCACAGCCATCCACAGTATTATTAACGCTTCCCTTCCCCTTGACTTACACAAAAACGGAAATACCCTCCCCCAATATCTTAAATTAACGTAACAGTATGATACTTAATAAGTAACTAGTTTAAATAAAACGAAAAGATAAAATATTAAATGATCCTGGCCCGCATTCCCAAAAAGGTCAAACTACCGTTTCTTCAGCAAAAAATAAAAGAAATAAATCCTTCCGCTATTCTTACCCCCATTCCTCTACAATAATACTTTTTGTACAATCCCTTGTTTTGTTTTCATCTCCAGGAGAAAAGAAGGAAACTATGCAGAAAATCCATTTCCCGAATTGAATGAACTGAATATGAATTCCTTCCCCGCCCTGGTGAACAGCAAGAACTGCATCAACGGGGAGACAAGGACACAGAAAATATGACATTCATCACAATAAACCATGCAGGTTGTCGATTAGGATTCAACCTGTTCTCTCTCCTCTTTTTAGGTGCGCCGCTAAGCTGACAAGCATGTGTTGCATTGCTCCATGAGCTGCTTTGTTGTGGGCGGATCGATTTTGAGCTTCATGCTGGGGCAAAAACTAAACAAATACCTACACATACACATTAAAACAACCTGAAGAACACACTTTATATCTACACACACAGACATGAGTATCCATGTAAAAGGTGGAGTTTGATTGCATATACATTCTCTCTCTCACACACACACAGGCAAAATTAAAGTAGAAAACAGACATAATCAGAAACTCACATACACATACATTAGATGAAGGCACTATTGCAAGCAAAGTCCAAGAACTATTTGTGACAGAAAACATCAACACCCTTTTCCCAATCCAGTCCTCAATCCCTTGGGCTAGATGTTCGGGGTCAGGGTTAATGTTTAAAGACAGACTGGAAGCAATTTTTGATTATGAAGATGTTTTTGTGTTTTTTTAAGAGCACGAGTATCTGTTTTCCTATCTGCTGAAAAGAAAATGAGCAGAGAGAGTCAGACCTGTAGATAGGAAATAGCTTGGGTTTGGCATGCTGTCATCTAACTTTCCTGTCTGTCTGCGTTGAAACAGGATGAGAGCTGCTGATTCATCTCTCCCTTGCTCATCACCTTCTCCTCTCATACATCCCGTAAATTCTTAGATAAACAGTTAATGGACCGCTCAACAAACAATGTTTCATGGTTCACAGTGCAGTGAACCACTTCAATTTTATCTCCTGCTATGTCCGCACTTTCTATCTGGCCTTTGTTTGTGTGGAATGTGGACTCCAGTAAGTGAATAAGAAGTGACTGTGACAAGACACTTGACCTTGACGTCCTCGTTTGCCGTGTGAGCTAGGGGGCCGAGCTTAGTCGAGTAAGGTGAATGAAAAGCTGCTCCACTGCCAAGAAACTATCTAGCCCAAGGGTTAGACGAACAGACAAGTACACACACACACACACATGCAGGCATGCACACACACACACACTCACACACAATCACTCATGCGCGCACACTACTGTTCCCCTCCCATTCCCCAGGCAGCAGACAAGGCAGTACATTCAGGGTAACACAGAGTCAGTCCCTTCAGAGATCCATCGGATCCTCCTCCGCGAGGCCGTGATTCGCAATGGTCCTGCCTCCACTTTTCGATGGCGCCCCCTCACTTTCGGGTTTCGCCTTAGGGGGCGGTGTGGGCCCCGATCCCCCCTCCGGCGCACTCCAGGGCTCAGTGGTGGGCGGGTAGAAATCGTCGTCAAAGCCGCAGAAGCCTTCGTCCACGCCATGATCATAGCGCTGGTAGGTGGAGGCGTGCACCTCGTTCTCTCTTGCCTTGATCTCCAGCTTACTATTCCACATGCCGTAGCCAAAATAGATGAGCACACCTGAAGGGACACAGACAAATATCAGCATAACCACACACATAACCACAGCTTACGGTACTATTTCAAGAGCTCAAAAACAAATTTAAAAGCACTTAGAAAGAATAAACTCTCTATCATCTTAAAAACAATTGATCCCACTCTGAGTGAGTCAGAAGAATACTGCAATCCTACTCACAAAATAAAGACAAAATGTCCAGATGCCCACCAGTGTTTGTGTACGAACAAAAACAGCCCTGCCGGACACTGATTCTGTCTTTATGTAAGCAGTAAAAACGATAAAGAATTGACAAAATGGTAATATAAACTGCATGCTCAGAGCATTTACACACACACAGATAAATACAGATGTACAAACAGATACAACTGAGGCAAAAAATAAAGTAAAAATGAGTCTTCCTGGTTTTTTTTAAATAAAAAAAACAAACGGCAAGTAAGTGAGACACACGTTAGATTTGACTGACTCACGGAGCCGATGAAAAATCTGTCATTAAAGTCAATAAAGTGTGTCACTAAAAATGTTCCCTTCGGTCTGGGATGACAGTTATGAACCTAAATGCAAGACAAACGGTCATTCAGTGAGGTGGTGGCTTACCCACGCTGCACCAGATTGAGAATCGAATCCATGTGATGGCAGACAGTTTAAGCATGAGGTAGATGTTGACCAGCATGGCTGAAACAGGTACAAAGGGCACACAGGGTGCCATGTAGGGCAGCCGCTTAGGATTCTCTGGCTGCTGGAGGATGATGATGACGAGCAAGGCAAGGAAGATGATGAAGAAGATTAATAGCAGCAAAGCCCACCAGCGACCCTCCCCAATACTGCTCGATCCTGAGGAAACAAGGAATAAAGCAAACAATTAATTTACAGTGACATTATACAGTAATTACCTTTCTGAAATGCGTCCATGTGTGCCTCACCAAAAATGATGAAGGAGCAGAAAGCAAAGATGGAAACGAAGAGGAGGAGCACACACACAGTAACGGTTTTCCCCGTGGCTGGAGTTGGCCTGTCCATCTTTCCCGGGAGGCCCAATCGGATCCTCAAGGTGTAGTAGTGTGGTCCAATGAGCTTCTTCAACCGCCGGGACACCCCGCCCTCTGAATCCTCTGCTTCAATGCCACTGGTCATATCCACTGTGCCATAGTTTGGGTGGCTGGCAGTGTAGATGGTTTTATCTGGTTTGCCTATCAGCATCTCGTTGTCGCCCAGTGACGGCAAGTTTTTGGCTCCACAGGTATTAGTAGCCGGACCTCCATACTCATCTGCTTCGCTGGTTGGTGAACAGGCATCCTTCTCGCACTCAGCCAGAACGCCCTCCTTTCTCTTGTTGTTCTGCTCCTCGGAGAGGAAGTTCACAAAGCCGTGGATGTCGCCCTCAGGTTGGTAACGCAGCAGGAGTACACACAGGCTTACCTGCAGACCAGGAGGGGTTAGAATTTGTTTTTCTTTTAAGAGCGGAAATACCCCATTGTCATAAGAAAGTGCTTTTCTTAGTATCCAATTCTTCTGAAAATTGGACAAAATTTGGTTCATTTGTTTTTTCTTTAAATCTACTGACGTCACTGAGCATTGCGTTTTCAGCATTTCATTCACGCATCAGTACCAGTGGCTTATTTGTACGTGTCTCAGAATAAATCTCTTCAATACATTGAGCTAAATATAATAACTCAGATGCACCCTGTATGTACCCATATGGTCTATATAGCTGTGTCCATCCTCATTATTAACTCACCAGGGTGTAGGCCAGCAGGGTTCCTATGGACATCATCTCTATGAGGTCTCTGAGGCTCACCAGGAGGGACAGCAGGGCAGCCAGAAAGCCCGACACCACACAGGCAAGAGCAGGGGTCTCTGTGTAGGAAGACACATTGGCCAGGAACCTAAACACACACACACACACACACACACACACACACACACACACGCACACACACACACAAACACACAAATTAGTTGATTGAGACTCAGTTGCACACCTCATTTAGATTGACATGAAAAATAATGAGCACTAAATAACTGTGGACTGACTTAAACAGCAGTCCGTCCCCCGCCATGGCATAGATGATCCTGGGCATGGGGAACAGGGACCCCAGGAGGGATACAGTGAGTCCGGCTATGGAGCCCACCGCCACGATATACTTTGCAAACATACAGCCATGCACGGCAAACATCTCCATGAGCGGGGCGTCTGCGTCAATCTCATTGTACGGCACCATCAGAGTGAGGATCACAGAAACCTAGAAGGAAGAGGGTTGGATACACAGAGTTTGTTAATTAATAAAGAGTTATTTGTTGCAATATCAAAATATATAAAAAGGTAACCTGGTGTTCAGCCTGAAATATTGCTACATTTCTGGAGAGAGGAGCTAGTCAACAATTTTGCTCTTTGCCAAAGGTATAGAAATATGTATGTAGCTTCATATCAAGATACTATGTGTAGAATTTGGCACCTACAGTGGTAGGATATAAAAACACTGTGGCAGACTCCAATACAGGTCATTACTCACTTGTTTTCCAAAGAATTATTTCTTTTTTCTTTTAAAAAACATAAAAAAACATCAAAGAAAGCTGATGAACATTATGTGATATGATTGAAAGCTCCAGAAAAGCTACTAAATGGACCCTTTTCCAGCTTTTAAAAGGACAAGTGTGCAAAACTTGACCAACTCCATCCAGCTGATGAAGATCATATGATATGATCAAAAGCTCCAGAAAAGCCACTAAATGGGCCTTGTAGTTAGACCGTTTGATGAACCTCTGAGCTACATGCTTACAGCATAGCTTTACTCAGCTAGCGCGTTCATCACACCGCATCACATGCAAAGTGTTCATTAGCAATGCTTCTCTCCCTCTGTGTGTGCATGCGCGCAGTTTTGCTCCTTGCGTCTGACGTGTGAAATCATGCAGGGCCATCTGTCACGGATACTGTGCTGCAAAAGTGAGGGATTTGCTTGAACAGATTGCAGAAAAAGAGAGGGATGAAAAAAAAGGCTTACCATCACAGAGAGGAAGATATATAGATCATTTTCCTCCTGCTGTAGTAGCCTGGTGCCCTTTAACCCTTTGTCCAATCTGGACAAAGCCTGGTCAACACTCGACAGTGTGTGAAGCAGTGAAAGGGGACTGTACTAATCTCGAGGGAATCCTAAAACAAATCCTGATTTAACATATTTGTCTGAGGGGCCTATTTTAGCTCGCTGTCAGCTAATTTTCAGCTTGCACATTCATGTTTCCCCAAAAGCACCAACCTCACTGCCCTCTTGACAGAATAGTTTGTACCAACACCCACTTAGGAGCATAGATGTGAGGTAATTCAACATGGAAAAACGTTCAGAGGAAGCACCGAATGAAGGTCTCATTTTGTTGATTTCGGTTGAAGTTACAGTCTCTCTATCAGATACATTATGTGACATGTAATGTGCTTAATGATTTAAGTAATCCTGGATCTTAAACTGCAGCAGCTACAGAATCCTGATGGGAGTAAAATAGTTATTCCAAGATGCCGAAAGAGTGAGAGTTCGAAGGAAGATGGAAGATGGCTGAGAAAATAGATTTTGTAGCACAAGAGAAGGGTTACTTGGAGAAATAGATGGGACTGGGAGAGAAAGAGAAAGAGAAAGACGAGGTATTCAAAGACAAGTAGTTGAGTCTTGAAGTTGGTGCAAGCTTTGGCCCCAGGCGATGTCGAAAAAACTCTCCCTCCTGTTACACTGTACCCATAGCAACAACCATCCAGCACAAAGGTGTTAAAGTCAGAAATCTGGTCGGCTGTGCGAGCTGAATATGTAAAGATTAGTTGTGTGGAACACACCCACACAGTTAGAGTGCAGGGGGAAGCATCTTGATGTTTGAACTTTCCATCCTTGTGTCAGACACATCTCCAAATTTGGGATAACACTTTCAGTCTGTATTCACAAGTATGTTGATAAGAACTCGAAGGCAGCGCTAAAGATAATGCATGAAGATGAAGAATGATGAACATACAAGTAGATGCAGATCAAAATTGAATGGTTATGCCACAAAAGGACCAAAACATGTACTCAAATTCTGTTTAGTTCTCAATTCAGTGATTAAATGTGGGTGTATGAATTACAAACTGTGACTGTAGCCTGCTGTCTTCCCACAATCGATGTAATCATATTCATCAGTGTCATAAAAATTGTATTTTCTAAAATTGGAGTCTGGAGTGAGACAAGTCATTATTTTACCTCATTACCACACTGTGCATGCCAAAAACATTCAAATCAGTCATGAAAACTGTGTTTAGCAGCTGCGGTGATACTTTGAGAGCTTTGCAGTCTCATGCTGTGGAATGCTAACAAAGGGAGACGAATGAAGCAATAATTATTCATGTTTGTGTACATATTTGTGTAATATGTCTGCGGTCTTCAAGGTAAAACTCACAGAGACATAGGCAGTGAGGCAGGTGATGAGTGAGGCAGTGATGGCGTAGGGGATGGAGGTGTTGGGACTCTTGGCCTCCTCTCCTGTTGTAGCAATGATGTCAAATCCAATGAAGGCATAGAAACAGGTGGCTGCACCCTGCATCACCTGGAACAGAGCAGAAGCACGAGAAATGATTCACACAAAGATGTAGCAGATGGGGTCGTAATCAAAACCTCCCTTACTCTCACTCAGTATGTGTGTGTGTGCGCGCACGCGCGTGCGTACCCCTGACCAGCCAAAAGGCAGGAATCTCCCCTCGTCCCAGTTCTCTCCGTTGACGAAGAACAGCCCAGCGATCATCATGAACACCCACACAATGAGGTTGATGACGTTCAGCACGTTGTTGAAGCCCACGGAGTTCTTCACTCCCAAAGCAACGATCACTGTCACCAGCAGCGCTATCAGCAGCGCCAGCAGGTCTGGGTACGACTGCTCCCCTTTACCTACAGGAGGGGGTTAGGATTAGCACACAGATATTATAGTTGTACACATTGTACCTGTGAAATCCAAGCACCGTAGTGGTGGTGGTGGGCGATCCAAATTTGCTTCCAAAAACTTGTTACAAAGGCTTTTTCCAACACAGTTTGTTGCCTTTCCTTTCTCAGCAAATGCAGCTGCTCAGTTAGTTGGCTAGTTAGCTACTTGGAGTTTGAGTGAGCAAATTGCAACCGTTGAGGAAGGCAGCGAAATGAAAGCTTTGCAAACAACAACTAAATTAGACCACGTGTTGATATGTTTCGCAAAATCAAGAATGAACGTTCAAGTTTCAAGTAAGTAGACCACTATAGACTACTTCAAAAGCCACTCAAAAAACGCTAAATCTTACCAAGGATATTTGTCTAATTACTTGTATAACAAAGAATTATAAATAGAAGACACAATCACCTAAAATTTCAGTGAGACATAAGACCTTTGTTTGTATCTATCTTGAATATATTTTGTTGTCAAGAAAATCCTTCTTTTGAGCTAATTTCGAGATCTCTGTTTATCCTGAAAGGCCTGAATGTTACATCTTATTTCAAAATGTTCAACAGGATTTTCGCTTGTTCCATTGGCAGGTTTTGCTACTTATCACACACAGAAACACCTTGTATTCTTTGTTTTGGTTTTTTTGTGGCCATTTTTCCAGTGTACAGTCACTAAGCACAGTGTATGGATAAGAGTCTGCAGTGAGGATAAGATTGAACAATCTATCGTGGACACATGGATCATTGCAAAGTTTGGTATATAAAAGTTAGCCGTCAGGTCATCTTTGCCAAAATTTTGTGTTTTCTTGAAACATCAAAAGGGACTTTCAAACAATTTCTTTAATTGGTCTTAGCCTTGCCAAAATTGAATATACTTATATTTGCAACATCAACAAAAAGGTACAGTAAACTGTCAACCACATTAAAGAATTGCATTGAATGCACCGTTACAAAATATTAATAACTATTCTGCACAACTCAACTGTGCACAGGAACTCGGTCTTTATAAATACACACAGGTGGTCACACATAAACTAACGTGACATATTTTGAGCTAAATTCCACACTTTCCTTGTGGTGTGGAGAAACAGACGTTTATCTCCAGCAGGAAAAGGAAAACATTAATTTTCCATTATGGCATGAAACAGCTGGCCACGCTGCTCATCATGTGACCACTAACACCGCTTTGACAGTGTCCAACAGGAAGAGACTTTCAGGGCGGTGTCACCCAGACACAGCTGGCACACAAATCAGATATAGTGTTACACCACATTATCAGGCATCCCCCTCATGGTTCGGCTTATGATCTGGAAAACTGTGTTTCATGAATCATTTAGAAATCCAAGATGCTACGTCCGCTCTTACTTTCCATAATGAGATGATTTCCAGGATAAGCAGTGAAACATCGTTTCGATGCTCCAAGGAAAACAAAAAGTCTGATACTGATCATTTCCCGGATGATGTTACTTTCATTTTCATAAAATCAGCAATTAAAATAATAACTGTCATTCAAATACAGTCGTGCATTGAGACTCTGTCTCACAAAATCTCACCAGTGATACAGATGACAATTTGCTTCCGTTACATGTTGAGAAGGCAACTTATGACACTGAGGACAAGTACAGTATATTACACACATTACTGCAAGAATACGGACTGATAAGAGTTTATTAAATCAATTTCTTTAGGGTCAACAGATTGACATACGTAGCTGTCTTTCAATCCAGGATAACTCAGGATAAAGCCACTACACAAATAAGTATTTGAACAAGACCCATCTCTGACCCTCTTGTGAAGGGTGGGGGAGTAAAAGAGATGCTGTCACTCTTGGGTGAATGTCTGTTTATAGGTTTTAAAGCAATCTTTGCTTGACAGTGGACTTTATCTGATAGATGATAAGCTGTAAATAAAAAGGAGTAAAAAGGCTCCAAATACTATTTTACTGCAATCAAAATAAAAGATGTGGTGGGATCATATTCTCCCTTGTTAATAGAAACGCCTTCTATTTGCTATAAAATACTGTTGATATATTATATTTCAGCTATTTCCCAGGTATTTAGAGTATTTTCCCCCAGCATTATGAAACAGCATGAGTTAAACCATCTCTACTGTATCAGTGACAGCAGCAGTGCAAATCTGAGACATTACCTACATCTCATATTGATCCAAATCCTCAAACTAAAACTCACAATAACTCGGTTTCAAAATCAGAAGCAAATCGTAATAATTCTTGAAGTAAAACTCCAGCTGTCAGCCACACGTCCTTCCCCACTCACCCAGGCCGTTGAGCGTTCCAATGTGTGAAATCATAAAGTTGCTGATGCTGTGATTGGCCAGCGAGTCAGCCATGCTGCTGAGAGCCGACGCCCCCGCCGCAGTGCCGATCAGATACTCCAGAATCAAGTTCCAGCCGATGAAAAACGCCACGCACTCGCCCACGGTCACGTAGCTGTACGTGTAGGCCGAACCCGTAGTCTTAGGCACCCGCACGCCGAACTCTGCATAACACACTCCTGTGGGACAGAGGAGGATAACAGAAACAGACACACATTCATAACACTGATTTGACTGCAGTATCATGCGTGAAAGGCTGAGTTGAAGTATTGATAGGAGCATTAAGGTTGTACTCAAATATCCCCCGAGTGCCTTTTATATTACAGCTTCGCCCGTATAATGTCTTTGCCCTTGATCTAAATGCATAGATATTAAAAGGCTGTTCATATAAATAATACTGTATCAGTGTGATGGGGATAAGTATGACAGTAACCTTCATACTGTGGCCTATACTATGTTATAATCAGCCTTGTGTGTGCATGTGTGTGTGTGCGTGAGACAGTAAGAGAGTGTTTAACAGCAGAAAAAATAAATTCATGTGTGCATTTGCTTGTCTCACCTGACAGTATGGAGGCCACAGCGGCGATAATGAAGGACACAATGACCCCCGGGCCGGCCATCTCCTTGGCGACCAGCCCCGAGACCACATACATCCCTGTTCCGACGCAGCTGCCCACGCCCAGCGACACCAGGTCCACTGTAGATAAGACCCGCGCCAGTCTGGTCCCATGTGAGCTGGTGCCCGTCACGGCCGAATCCAACATGGACTCCACAGGTTTGGTCCTCAGGACACGGGAAGTAAAGGTGTTCCACGTCGAGCGCCATTGTACCCTCCGGGGGTCTAGCTTCCCTGCCAGACTGGTCATACTAAGCGCTAAAAGGTCAAGGGTCAGAGTCAAAGGAAAGAATTTCACAAGGAAGAGTGGGAAGTTCTTGCTTTGATACTTTTCCTTTTGTACTTTTACTGTTTTCTTGTGAAAACAATTATGTACAGCACTGTGGAAGAAGAGATTTTCTTTATCCGAATATAGATTCAGAAGAAGATCGGGTTTTTCTCTCGCAGCCTGTGCCTCCGTTTTCTGCAACCTCTCTCGTTTGTCCTGGTTTAGTGGAATGCCACCTTAGTTGTTCCCCGCATAGTGAGAGAGAGAGAGTTATCTGAAAAACAAAGGTGGGATGATTTATTTTTGCAGCATTTCACAGCACATTGCCTTACATTATCATCCAACACAATGCTTATTCTCATACATGACAAGACAAGATGCATTACACCTTCGTCCACAAATGTAGCGTACCTGAGTGAGGAAGCAGCTAATTATCAGTCCTCTCCCTGTAGCCCTGTTGCTATAGTAGCCAAACTCATTCGTGATGACAATAGAGACAAAGTCTTTCTTTTGTTTGTAACGGGGAGAGGGAGCAATATCTGTAATCATATGTACTTGCAGGTCTACTGAACCTTCACATAACTGTGTAAAGTTTGTTTTTTATTGAATTCTACAGGACTGTGTATTGTAGACTATGTAGCATTACAATTCGATCAATTATCACATCCAATACTGGTGCACATGTAGAGTAAGTAGTACTGAAATACTGTATTAAAATATATCTTTGAGGTCTTTCAGGTTACCTGTACTCATTACAAGATTTTACACATAATACTCTGTAACCTCGTTGAGTACAGGTTGGAAATTAAACAGTTATCCTGGCAATTTTGTCCAATACACAAATAAAATTGAAACCAAAATTGTTAGAAATAAGAAAAACTAAAAACTAAAAACTTTCCTACTGTGTAAAATGCAAAAAGCCACTAAATAGTTTCTTCAACCATAGAATATATCTCCTCAGTTCATATCATTACAGTGATTCAACAACTTGGAAATGCTTTGTGTGTCAAAATAAGTACGCAGCACACTGTTGGATAGAAACATGGAGCTGAATAGGAATCTAGGCAATCAGTGAAACAATTTTTTGCACAATTACAACAATTATGTATTATGTTTTAACAATAGAACATATTCAAACTGCAGAGGCTTTATTATACTTTTCAACAGTGTCTCTGATGTCATAAAAGTAACTGCTGTTGAAAGAGAGCTAGTCATCAATTACGTCGCAGTCCACCTCTCTCCTGTTCTCTCTCTCTCACAGCAGTGAACTCTCACCATTCATCCACTTTGAACGACAAGCGCAAGTTACTGAACAAACACACACTCACATTGCCTCTCAGCTATAATATGAGCCACTCAAATGATGGCTGCAATTACGCAGCTGTTTAACCAGAGTAGGCCCTGGGCCGCTGTTGTCTCTGCACTTAGTGGGAGTGGGAGCTTGTGCAGAGGTAGAAAAAGCTCAAAAGGTGATTTTATGTGTGTGATGGTGAGTGTGAGGTGTGGCAGGAGTTATTAACCCATCACAAAACCAACTCACAGGTGTCCTGACTGTGCTGTTATGAAATCAAATTCACAAATCAGCGGACTTGAAGACACAATGTCCCGCTATAGTCTTTACAGATTTATTTAAAATAAAAAGCACTGTGCTCCCATAAGATGGAGTGTCGTTTTTTTTGTTCGAGCAGACAATGACCTTCGTCAAGAGGAGCTGTTAATTTAACTGACAGTTATTTTTTAACAACTCAAAAATAGTGGCCCATTTTATCCATTGAATCAAGTATACTTCTAACACTAATAGTTCTTATCTCTGTCTACGACAAAGAAAAAGGTGGGTCTCCATATACCAGGGATTGAACTGGTATGGGGAAAAAGTCCTTATAGACCACCCGTGCCCATATATGTGTGTGTGTGTGTGTGCGTGTGTGCCTTTGTGTGTGGAAAGGCCAGCAAACCTCAACAGCTTTAATTGGAGAAACTGATACCTATGCACGTATCCAATCACACTCTGCAAACTCTCTTAAAATAAGTGGCAAAACGGCAAGACTTGGGGACAAAACGGTCTGTTTATGAGATTGTTGTTTATGAGATATGTATTGAGTACTATACGCACAGAGATCTTTCATCATTCCATATCACAAATCAAATCATGCAAGCAGCTTGTTTTTCAACACATCTGTGACATTATAATATTCTCCGGCTAGTTTCATTGACAGTGACCACCACCTGCTCTGTGTTGAGTGCGAGTCATTTGAACAGTCGTAGATCAACAAAACGGAGCTGCACAAAGCACTGTGGCAGCAGGTGTTCCTTCTCACTGTGCCGGAAAACTGACTACGTTTTACTAACAGTCCTCTGGGATAAAGGTTTGTATGAGGGCATTTTAAGATTTATAGAATTATTGTTCGGGATGGTGGTGAAAAAGGTTAGTCTGGAGCCTTGTATACCAACTACTGAAACAAAACAACAAGAACAATTGATATCGTCCATGAAGGGAATAAATGGTGTCGGACCAGCTCTGAATGCCATATCACTGCACTCTGATTGTTTGATTTAATTTCAAGTTTTTTTCTCTCTCTCACAAACCCATTCTAGTGCCAGAAAGTCATAATATTACACTAAGTGTAAGTGCAGTGGCAGGTGTGACTTATTCAATGGCAACATCTGCATGGAGCACAGCGCTGTTCTTTTGAGCTTTTATATGGAGCACACACTAAAGTGCCAGTGGCACCGTTAGCTACTGAATTATTTAATATAGTGTGGGCGAGGGCAATACATTTTATATTTAAACATCTAGTGAAGGAGTTACTCATATTGCTCTTGCCATTTCATTACAAGAGGAAGAACCATTGGAAATATAAGCGTATATGTGAACAAAACAGCATGAAGGGAGAAGAACACAGCAAAATAAGAAGCTCCGAGTAGAGAAAGATTTGGAAAATGTCATCTCCCAGCATGTGAGCTGCTGTTGTGTTTACAGAGGCCCTGTCTCAACAGACAAACATAGAAATAGAATTCCAAACAAGGCCTTTCTTCGATATATTACTAAACAAACCCCCATTATCTGCTCTGCCATGGTGCTGCCGTTTACAGATCAATAGTTGAATCCCTGTCATCATAATCATCACCACCCCCTCTAGCATCTTCGTTTTAGTGTTTCCTCTCCAGATAAGAGAGCTGTCAGAACATCCATCCTTGGGTCTAATCAGCCATGACTAAGCCCGTCTCTATGTCCGCCCCTGCCTGCGTCTGAATTAATGGATGAATAACCTGATTGAGCTCTCATTGCTTTTACTGTAAGTGCTGCATCGGCTTAATAAGGCTGAGAGCTCTTCTGATTCACTCAAAACAAACCTGGCAACAGGCTTGCGTTGCCCCAACATCTATAAAAACCAAATCTGGCAAGCGGCCCCTTGGCCCAAAGACAGAACAGGAAGGAGCCGACTCGTCATTGTTCAGCAGAATGCCCGAGTCAGGGACATTTTCTTACTAATTCACTTGATTTTTTATTCTCTTTTTCTAAGTCTTTGAGTTTTGTGCTAATTAGCAAATGCTAACACGCTAAACTTATTTAATATTTGACCTAACATCCGCATTTTACCCTATAGTGAGTCATATTGTGACATATTAGCATGTTGATCATGCTGTTTGTTTGTCTAACTGGCAGAGAAAGATGAAAGCTCTTAGTTGATTAGTCTACTAATCGGTCATTTTGATCTTCGTCAATTAAGATTTCTTTCATCAATTAGTTGTTTTTTATGCTTTTTCCAAGAAACTTGGGTGCGATTCTTTGTGGAAAAAAGTAACACAGATCAACTAATCGATCAGTTGACACAATTGTATGAGTCTTTAGCCGACAAAGAATTTCTTTGGTCTAGGACAGCCTTAGTAGACAGTGTGAAAAAGGAAAAGTGACTGTGCATAATTCATGTTAGTGTGCACAGCTCTACTTCAGTGCCTCTCAGTGTTAAGATTTAAGAGGCCAGCCTCTATAGACTGCTACACAGCAGTGCTCATGCAGTCTACAGTCTAATATCCACAACATGATAATGGATGGCTGACTGGCCACAGTATCCCCATCTGACAAGCCTAATGAATTTGATTCCTCATTTGACACAAAAGAGAAATTGCCACGTGCCAGGTCGATTTCGTTGCCTGACTCATCAGTCACACAAAAAAAAACTATCCCTGTCTGTCTACACTGTTCAGAGACTGAATTTTAAATAAGAACTGTGATGTTCCCATCAGTTTCACTGAGATGGCTGCCCAGCTGCCTCCGTAATTTACTGAAAGATTCTTCGTTTCATTTACTCATGTCAAACTATCTTCATGGCATAACCAAGCAGCAACAACCACGCAAGAGTAACCTCTCCATATGCAAATGAGAGGACAAAAACCTGATCACATGACGCCCACCCCATGTTGGCTCATTGATTGAAAGAATTAAATGAAGAGCAGGTCATTCATTTAAGGATATCAAAAATCAGTAGCTAATCTCTCGTAGTAAACATTATTGTATATGGAGATTTTAAAAGTTGACATCAAAATGTGTTAATGTGATCAGAGAAAATAGGTGAAACACACCACGTGTTTTATGTGTTAAGATATAATCCATAGGAGCCACAGGAGGTCCTATCCTGCCATGTCTGCCTGAGTCACATTTACTAATTTAACGTTCATCTATGGCCACTAAGCCACTCTTCTTTCAGACAGGTAGAGGAACACAAGAAAGGTATAGCTCCACTTTGTTGATGATGAGATGCAAGAAAAATGCAGCCATCCGTCAAAGATTAAAACCAGGAAATTGTAAAGCAATGGCCTTGCAAGGCACCATTATTGGGATATGGCTCATACTCATTAGTATGTAAGTCAGATAAGCACATGTTTGTATTTTGTGTATTTTGTTTATGATGTCTAAGCTAAACAGAGGGTTTCTGACAGAGGGTAAATACAGGTATATTCAGACAGCCAGTATGAGAAAAACTGAGTTTTTTTTAAACAGTAAAGCATAGAAACGTGCTCTAGTAGAAACCCAAACATACAAGTATGAAACTAAAAATGAGAGCATGATATGTCCCCATCAATTAACACAAGAACACAAGACAAAACTGAGTAAATCCCAGCAGACTGCTCATTGACCTTGGAACATGGAATATGTCAAAACAGCAACTACACTCAATGTGCCAGTAGATGAAGGAAAAACAGAAAGAAATTGGTCCAAGAAAGTCTACAAATGAATGACTGAGCACTGCTACTATCCAGCGTACTATCATCCCCAACCATTTAGTGTAATGTGTTGATCGACACTATTGGAACTGGTACTAGACAAATATCAACACAATGTCCCTCTGCTTCACTCAGTTGGCTGTCTGAGCAGTTTACTCTCTATATATCTGGCTCATATTCTGGCTTGCTAATGACTCTGATTCACTTGAGATTTTGACCATCAAGCTCAAACATGTTGATGTTTACTCTATATTTGTAGCATCGTGATGAGAAATGGCAAAACAGAAAGAAGAAATATTACAACCGTCTGTCCGAGTGGAAAGTGTTGCTACTGGTGCCGGGATACAGACAAATTGCTCTGCATGGCTGACCCGTCAGACAGCCCGGTTCACTCACAATTTTGGCCTGCCTCATCCCCATCTATCTTGCCCTAATGCAACACAGTGGGAGCCTGAAGCTTGAAGCACAGTGGGTCTGGCTCCAGACTGCAAAATAAATAAAAACAACGGTATCACTCCCTCTGGCTCCCTGGCTAACCAGCCACTTCGATGATATCTCTGTCTGTGTGACCTTAAACTCTAAAAAGCAATCGGTTCATTTCACACTCAGACACTAAACCCCAACTAACTTGATGCACGAGTATAAACCTCAATTGCAGATACTTAGTCTAAGAGCTGGCTTAAAACCTGGCCCTAAAACTGGCTAATCAACATCCTCCTGACTAAGTATTCGACAAGGAGCTCCATACATGACATACAGTATATGGGGACATTTAGAGAAAATGGAGAAAGGAAATATTGCCATCGATCCGATTTGCTAGTCCCCATCCTTTCTGCAGGCAGTGTTGTCCTTCTGCAGTATCTGAAAGGGATTTTTTATAGCATCACTGCATAAAAGCATACATTTGCATGGTCTTTTATGATAGAGATATCTGTAGCCATCTGTCTTGGGTTCATATAGACTGGAGAAAAATGCATCAGTCATATAACATTAGGAGGCTTGGGGAGTAACAGAACACATGGAACAACGTAATTAGAATACAACAATTACAGAAAAAAAAGGATGAAATCAGATGATTGATTGGCCTATAGTATAAGTTATGATAAGAGGAACACAATCACATTGCAGTGAAAGTTATCTCAAAGCAGGACAGTTAAAGAACTTTCAATTTCATCAAGATTATTCCTTTTGCTGAGAGACATCCCAGCATGAAAAGACGGTTTGTAGGAGATGAGCGAACTGCTTACAATTTCTGGTCCAGTAAACATAACACAGGACAAACTGACCATTAGAGCCACGTACAGTAACTATCTCTTTGCCGTCGCTCCCTCTAACGGTGCCACTTCCTCTCTGGTGTCTCCTGAGTTCCTCCCAGTCAGAGCAGAGACTTGTTTGTCAGCTTACACCGCTTGCCAGCAAATTAGTGTAGCCCCTGTTGTGTGCACTGCTCACTATGTTCAAAAAGTCTGCTGACAATTGATGGTCCTTTTTTTGTTTCATCGACTCCACCTTCACCTGTTAACCTCTCTACATCCTCAAGTGTATTTCCTCCCCTTCACTGTCTGACTGTCTCTTTTGCCTTTTCTCTGTCTCTTCTCAGAGGCTGGGCTTGGAGCACTTTATACTGTATCATGGCAAAAACATTCCCTGACCTCCAGTGTTTGTGCACCTATGCTTTTTTTCAATCCAACAACTTTGACATCTGAGGTTAGCATAATGTGCACCACCATGAGGACCAAGAGCCTATGCTTGCTTTCTTTCTTGTTAAAATAAATGGTGAGGTACCAATGGACATTTGTTGAGCATTTTATTTCATAGTCCATCATTGCAAATCTATTTTGAAGTCTGATATTCAATAATGTGACGTAGCTAAATGAAGCCATACCTTGTGAGTATAGCACATTGTGCTGGTGTAAGAATCTCTTTTATATCTTAATAACTCAAAATGGCAATCTAAACAAAACATCTTTTAAGTCATTAAATGTGGATCCAAATGTTTTTTATGAGGATTTATTAGTAAGAGACCTTGTTTTTTTGGAAAAGGAGAACCTCATCACTGTTGACTACATGTGCAAGCTGCTGGTTTGCAAGAAGTGTGTTTTCTGTCCACTCTTTTTCCGACACTAATGTGATTCTTGAAGAGGGTCCGTTAGTTTTAAAAACATAAAAGTGCAACATAAACGTAGCAATGGTTTTATGAGCTTTTAACTAATGATCAAGTTTCACAATCAACTCCAAAAGGACGGATAATACCAGTGCAATTTTATCTTCTCCTGTCACATTGATGACCATTTATGTGTTTTAATTTCCTTAGCCCTGTTTTACAAGAGGTTTGCCTCCTGTTAGACTTACATCCACACACTGTTTACTGGTGCCTTGACAAAATGCATTGTGCTTAATGCTACATGTCCGGAGGGTTTGTGCCGTACTACTTCTGGAGGAGGTGCAGAGGCAGATATCGGGTTAGTTTCCCACAACTTCTTGTAGCTGTCTTTTTTGAACTGAGGGTAACACTGAAATGAGGGGAAGGAGGCCTATTAGGGGGATGATTGGGACAAAGCCTCAGACACATGCAATCTTGCAATGCAAATCAATGCAATTTTCTCTCAATCAGTTTTACCACTGGAACTACTTTGTGCATAATGATGGACTGTGTTTGTCAATGAAACTGAATGGTTTTTATAGTGATTTTATACCTTTCACGAATACAGTAGAAGACAAGAGAGCAAACGAAGTCCAGGTATTAACCTACCATCCATGATAACCATCTGCTCTTAATTAAGGGAGATTTTTTTTCTTTTCCGGCTTAGACACGGCTGCTCAGAAAATAGGATGGCTTTCCAATTTGTCTGACCCCGACTATCAATTTATTAACGCGACGATTGGTGAATCTTGTAACAAAGTCACAAAAGATTGAGGCAAAAAAGCCTAAAGGCCTAAAACTGATAAACCTGTAGGGAAGAAACCAGAGTTACAAATGTATAACAGTGATTGGATTACATTGTAATAATAATGATCAAGGTCGCCTACCTCCCACACTGGCCCTCTGGTCTCTTTCTGTCTGTCTCGGTTGTTTGTCTCTCCTTCTATTTTCTGTCTCTTCCGATCCCGTTGAGCCAATAACTAGAGGTGTGTGCGTGTGTGTGTGTGTGCGTGTGTGTGTGTGTGTGTGTGTGTAGGTGTGTGTGTTGCTGACAGAGACAAACAAAAGGAAGCAGTCTGTGTGCGTGTGAGGTCCTGATTATATTAGCCTTTATGCGCAGGCAGGTTCACTGACGTCAGTGCTGAGCAGCATCTGAAGGAGAAAGAGTGGTGGGGGCCAGTCAGCCATTCATAAATCTAAAGGCATATGTATGCATGTTTGTGCATTTATGCTATGTATTTATCTGCCTTTCATGCGTGATTCTTCCAAACAGGCACATAAACATTACCATCTCTCAATGAGGCATTTATTTTTACTCCCTAATAAACCTACAGAAAATGTATCACCTGAATCTGCATCTTCCCTCACCTTAACAAAGCTCTATAGTGAGTTTCAGCTTATTGTTTAGCCGTCCGGCCTACAAATTTACTGATTAATTCACTTTCACTGCTCTCATAGTGTTATTTTTGGGGCCGAAGCAGGTAGCTGTTTTCAGTGAAAACGCTCTAGAAAGCCTCTGTAAACCAGCTGCTCAGCACCAAACAGCAGACAGGCACAGTTAGCGAGTGAACCTAGTGGAGCATTAACAGCTAAAGAGTCAGATATTTCCCTCAGGAGCTAGTAAAGACCAAAAACAGAGCTAAGGGAGAGTGGATATTGGCTTAAAATTCATGAGGCAGACACAAGCATGATTCCAACTAAATGCAAATGTTGCTCTGTTCTGTAACTGCTGGATGTGTAAACATACATTTGTTTGTTTACAAGTTTGCCTTAAAAGTATTCACAACTTGTCTCCGCTGCCCCCATGTGGCCCAAAAAACAGTTTTTGCAGGTTTAAAAGGGAGACTATGACTTTTAAAACGAAAATTCTATTCTTTTACAAGTTAAACATTTATTTTTAAAGGGACATATGCTCATTGTCATGTTCATACTTGTATATTGGATTCCTAGAACATGTTTACATGCTTTCATTCAGATGGAGGGGGGGGGGGGGGTATAATCCAATGAGCCTTTGTTTGACGTAGGAAGAGACAAATATGAATGGCTAATTGAATTACATATTTTCTGATGCAGGTAGAAACTGACTGGGTTGTCATATTTCCCAGTTTGTGGGTTAGTAAGCACTTGAGATACCCAAATATACTGTATGTGCATAAGCACTGAAAAGTATTGTTTTTCATGATATGTGCACTTTAAAATGAACCCTTGCTTCATTCAGTATACTACTACAGCCTTACTGGTATGACCAGTTGGCTTATGTTGGCTGATGTTAACTGACGTTTATGCTGTATACCAAAAAGTCAGATTGTGTACTTTGTAAAGCATCTCGACTTGTGCTAACGTCATGCTAAATTTGAGCATTTGTCATTATTCTGTAATAACAATTTAGCAGAAGTTACAATGGCTAGCTATAAAGAGTGGATTGTAAGGTACTGTGTGAGATACTCCACATTTTGAACAGTGACGCTGAGCAATTATTAGGAGTTTAAGAAAAGTGTGGACCACATGATAAAAAGAGGCACTTTTATTAAAAGTGTTAGATTACATCATGAGATCATATTGATGAATCTTTTTTGTTTGTACATGTGTTGGGAAGTATTAAAACGGTAAAAGACTGTTTAGGGGTTAAAACACAGACCGCCCCCAGGTTCAAATCCAGCTGGGGACCTATGTCTCATCTTTCTCCGTCACTTTCTGCCATCTCTTCATCATCGCTATCCAATAAGCCATCAACTGCTAAACAAAAAACTATCGTTTTAAAAATGTGTTATTTTCTGTTAATTCCGAAACACTGCTAGACACTGAATTTCCAAAAATAACACCTAAAAGTGAAAATATTCAGCCAATGTAAAAAATAAACAAAACAATGTAATGCTATGGCGAAAAGGCAGTCATGCTATTTGTGTGCACTGTCACAGCTGAACTGCCCTTGAGCAAGGTGCAAGTCACTGCACCTCAAGCTGCCCCAGTGGTGTTGTCCTTCATGTGACGGAATCCTCTGAGACCTGGGTTGTGTGTGTGTGTGTGTGTGATGTGTGTGTTTGTATGTGTGGTATGTAAAAAGACAAACTTCAGTTGCTAAATTGGTCAGTTATGTAATCTTCTGGTTCTACTTCTTATTGTGGTTGGTTTCACCCACCCCATCATCATCATCATCATCATCAAGTTTTTCTTCTTCCTGTTTGGCATCCATTGTTCTGGCTAGAACTGCTTTTGCTTTAGTCCCTCTGTTCATTAAACTGTATGTTCAGTTTATAGATTTGCTGTATGGTGGTTTACTATATTGGAGGATTCAATCTTTTTCAAATGAAACCCTGTATTTTCAAAACGAAGCAGTATTTATGTCATGATTATGATTTTTGAGTTTTACCTAAACTTGAAATTGCCATTTAGTTAACCCAGTATGTTCTAATTTCGTCAGCCAAGGATCCAAATTGACAATCGTGGACAAAAAATTCTATGTTGACAACTGAATCACAGGACAAGCTGTTTTCAAACAGAAAAACCCACAGATCAAGCAATGCAAACACAGCCCTCCATCTAAAAGCCATTGTATTCAAATGGAAGCCACCTTCCTTTATTTCTGTGTGGCTCTCTTATGGTAAGTTAAAGGCACCTGTTGAGCGCCGACAGGGCTATAAAGCTTGAACGAATTAGCAAGCGATCTGTTTTCAGCACCACAGGCCGCACGTCATCACAACTGAGTACGAGAAAGAAGAATTAGGAGGGGGAAAAAGAGAGAGAGAGACAAGACCGTATGTCTGAGAGAAAGAGAGAGAGAGAGAGAGAGAGAGAGAGAGAGAGAGAGAGAGAGAGAGAGAGAG